AAAAAAAAAAAAAAAAAAAAAAAAAAAAAAAATTCTTGGAGGACAGCTTCAACGTAATGAAACAAATATAAAAGTCCAGATCATGTAGTCAAAAGTTTTAACCTTAGAAGGCCAGAGATTTTGCACAAAACCTTATTATTTAATAAAGTCTGATGAATTTTAAAAAAACACACATTTGAAACATCAAATTATTTTTTCTTGTGAATTTACGTGGACGTCATGCTTATTAGAAAAAGTGGAGAACTTGGTTTAATTATCGTTAGATAATTGAAAACGAAAAATTGCAGAATCAATAATATGCAAAAGTTTATAAAAAAATGCATTTTACACAATCTGCAAACTTCATGAAAGCAAGTATTTTGATCTTTTTTTTTCAAATCTGAACCTTTTTTTTTTTTTGTAACACTTTGCCTCGATAACAAATCCATGGCAATCAATTCAAACATTATGTTACATGTACGTATATGTATTACGAAACAAACATTACGTTACATGTACGTATATGTATTACGAAACAAACATTACGTTACATGTACGTATATGTATTACGAAACAAACATTACGTTACATGTACGTATATGTATTACGAAACAAACATTATGTTACCTGTACGTATATGTATTACGAAACAAACATTATGTTACGTATATGTATTACGAAACAAACATTATGTTTCATGTACGTATATGTATTACGAAACAAACATTACGTTACATGTACGTATATGTATTACGAAACAAACATTATGTTACATGTACGTATATGTATTACGAAACAAACATTACGTTACATGTACGTATATGTATTACGAAACAAACATTATGTTACATGTACGTATATGTATTACGAAACAAACATTATGTTACATGTACGTATATGTATTACAAAACAAACATTATGTTACATGTACGTATATGTATTACAAAACAAACATTATGTTACATGTACGTATATGTATTACGAAACAAACATTATGTTACATGTACGTATATGTATTACAAAACAAACATTATGTTACATGTACGTATATGTATTACGAAACAAACATTATGTTACCTGTACGTATATGTATTACAAAACAAACATTACGTTACATGTACGTATATGTATTACAAAACAAACATTATGTTACATGTACGTATATGTATTACGAAACAAACATTACGTTACATGTACGTATATGTATTACAAAACAAACATTATGTTACATGTACGTATATGTATTACGAAACAAACATTATGTTACATGTACGTATATGTATTACAAAACAAACATTATGTTACATGTACGTATATGTATTACGAAACAAACATTATGTTACATGTACGTATATGTATTACAAAACAATATTCGAGGGTTAATCCAAAAGTAATGTCAAACTGCTATAAAAGCTTTAATTATAATAGAACGTTTTCAACAAAATTTTGTATACTAATACCTCTATCTGTTTTGACTTTTGCCCTAAAATTTCATTCAGGTCTATACAACGCTTTATACATGTACTATATTTGAACAAAAACACTGTTGTGTCTCGTCTATCGCCGCACGGCAAGAATTTACTGACGTTGATATGATGTTTCCTTTTCCACTCGTATTTTGAATGTAAAAGGTAAAGATAAAGAATAGTGATCGATCTCAAAAAATCCACAAACAATACAAATATGTGAAGAGGGCATAAAACATGGACCCCTGGAACTTCAAGAGGTGGGATCAGGTGCCTAGGGGTCCAGGAGGATTAAGCATCCCCTGTTGACCGGTCACACCCGTTGTGAGCTCTATGTATTGATCAGGTAGATGGAACTATCCGTAGTCAATTCAGTACAAAAGCAAAAACCTCACTATTGGTATGAAACAAGTTAGCCAAAATACCCCCCAGTGATAGGTTATATTTGCTAACAAGGTCATTATAACGATCATAAAATTTACGAAAAAACGTTGACTTTAAACGAGGCTGTTGAAATCCCTGTAACATCAACTTATCAGTGAGTAGCCTTCCTAGCTTTAAATATTGATCGTACTTGAGTAGCAAATAAGTTGGGGGACAAAAACACCATAAGCAAGTGATAGTGGAATATTATGCATAAATAACGAAAGTTGTCGATGGAAAAGCTAAAAGTCATCTCGTATGTCATACAATTTAGTTGTTAATTGGCCTTTATCGTCTATAGTCAGTAAAAAATCTAAATATGAAACAGGTATGACAGACTCTGTGGTGTCTTTTATTTCAAGTTCACTGGGATATATCAAGTCGACAAACGAATGAAAATAACTATTGTTCATTAATAAAACATTGTCGATATATCTGAATGTCGAATTGGAGGCCACAGCTTAGAGTGCATGTTCCTCTTCTCATGTAGCAGTTTTTCAATCAATTCTGATTCAGATGAATACAAAAACAGGTCAGCTAATAAAGGGGCACAATTAGTGCCCATTGGTATCCAACAGTTTGTTGGAAAACTTGGCCTCCGAAGAAAACATAAATGCTGTCAATGAGGAACTCCAGCATCCTTTAAACTTCAACTTCAGAGTACTTATGTGTAAAATCAGAGTGGTTTTTAACGAAGTAATTTTGCTGTTGACCAATCACAAGATATGAAACTTTCCGATCTCCATTTTTGATTTAAGAAGCATTTGTCTATGATATAAAAAATTCTAGATTTTAATTTATCGCGAGGAATTGTTATATAAAGTGTAGAAATGTCGTATGTTTTGATAGACTTTTGACAAATTTGTTGATTTTAAAGTTTCTAATAGTTCATTCGAGTTTTTGATGGTCCCACATCTGATTTACACCCACTTCTAAAATAAGTTGTAGCATACCCTAACAAAAAATACTATAGTTTACTGTAGTTAACTTTAGTAAATCAAAGTGCCAAAGTTATCACTATAGTAAATCAAAGTTTTCAAAGTGATCACTTTAGTGTCATAGTAATCACTATACCAAATCAAAGTTTTCCTAGTGATCACTATAGTAAATCAAAGTTCTCATAGTTGTCACTTTAGTAAATCAAAGTGTCAAAGTTATCACTATAGTAAATCAAAGTTTTCATAGTGTCAAAGTTATCAATATAATTAACTATAGTAATTGTTTGTTAGGGTAGTGCGTATGAAGTTTTTCCTTTACAGCAGTTAATGTTTTTGTAAGGAGTAAAGAAAAGGGTTTAGTAAAGCATTTGCTGGACCCAGCAATGTACAGTGTATCTTTGTTTGTAAGATTTTTTTTATGAAGGTTAGAAATCCAATACAAGTAGGGTAGATCGAACTCACCTTGGTTGACTGGTATATTAAAAGTATTAAACACTGAAATATGACTTTGAAGAATTTCTTCTTTGGAAAGTGAACTGTGAGTATATGTAGGATATCCAGACATAGAATTAACACCAAGTTCTTCCAAAATACAATTATAATGATGAAACTTAAAACAAAGACGATACTGTTACCAGCCTTGTCTGCTGGAACCATAACATATTTTTTCGTGTAGTCGCTCTAACTCTGATGGTACTTAAGAAATGAGTTTTCATTTTTAAACGAAGGGTTTTTTGGTAGATTTGACCACGTGCCAATTGTATTTAAATCCCGATAAAAGTTTTAAACTGACACCAAAATACTTATATTTACATATGAGACTGATTTATGACGTACATTAAGTACTAGAGCTTTAAACTCATAAAATGTTTAATTTTTCAAAACCTAACGGTATAAATTGAATGTAATCACATTGAAATCGTCTACCACTTATGACATGACTGTGAAATTACGTAAATCGTTTATGACGGAACAATGAATTTAAGGACACGTGACGAATCTGATATTACACAATTAAATACACCATGCTTAGATAGTGTTATATTTGGCAGACATTTGCAATTGTAAATATATAAGAAATGAAAGTAAAAGTAAAATTTGGACAAATTCAAATAATTAAAATACCAAAACTCAAAACAAGGTGGTTTAAAACAAACAGATTATTAAGAAGAAGCATGTTAGAGGTTTGAAAGATTTTCGGATGAACTGAAAATGAGTGCCAAAAAAGTAAAGTAATGCATCGGTAACATTCTTGCCGTGTGGCGATAGACAAAACCTAACGTTGTGTTTATCTTGATATTTCATAAAGTACTTTACATAATTAAATGAAATTTTAAGGCAAAAATAAAAAAAAAAAAGATAGGTGTATTTGTAGTTCAAATTTTGTTGAAGACGTTTGATTTTTAAAGATGTTACAGCAGTTGTGTCAACCCTTGTACTTGTACATCTATATATTAGAAAGAAAATTATGCAAGAATACGTCATTTTTTTTTTTAAACAATCATATTTTCACTTAAATGTGTTATGTACAGCGGTTTTTTTAACTTGTCATAAACTGTAATGCTATATAACAATAGTTGACATGGGATAAATACTTGAGAATAAGATAGAGTCGTTTTCATGACTTCACATTTCCAAACTGCAGCATACCTAATGTAATCATTTAAAAAAATTCTACAGACTTTAGAACAACTCCATCATATCAACGCATAAATATATGAGAAATTTATATGGAGTGCTCAGAATAAAGTAGAATTTGAAATAGTACTCGTGTCTACGTTGTAAGTGTAAAAAAGAGCCTTTATATCCCTTTCATTTACATTTAGTCCTCCATGAAATCAGCCTTGGGTATATGAACACACAATTTATATCCGTTTTGTTACGTTACGGCTGTGAGGCTCACGAAGTCCCTGGACGTCGGACGTCGAAAAGATATATAACACCATATAAACAAACATGATATAAACTACATAAAATGTCTTGATGAAATACACGAGCTATTTTTTATATTTTATTTGAGAGAAATACTCAGATTATCCATTTTTTTCAAAATGGGCTAGAATTTGATTGATGAATACAAGCATGTGAAGCAGATACAATACAATGATTATAATAAATCATAAAAAGTAAGATAGACATACTCTTTCACCAACAGTGTCATTTTGGACTAAAAGCTATCTGTTGTGACTAAAATCCACTAACAATCAATAATTGAACATTTATCCTATGAACGTGTCCTTAATTGAAATCAAATTGGCTCTATCTCGTTGTCTGAAAAAAGAAAAAAAATCACGTTACGTCATTATTTGTGGTATATTGATTTCACTATCATTTCAAGTTTAAAATAAGTTCTGTAATTCAATAAATCAGTAAGCAAATGTTCGCAAAATGTGTAAGCCAACAGACCTACATCAGTGTTCATGCTAAAGAATGCTATCATTAGGTTGCACTATTCTTTGGGAATACAAGAAAAAACATGAAAAGATAAAATTCTTATTGCAAAAAAAAAAAAAAAAAAAAAAAAAAAAAAAAAAAAAAGTTAATTGTAGACGAATTTTGAAAAGAAGACATCATAACTTAAAAAAATATGGAGGGACTGCAAAGTATTTACATTTCGATAGTTGGAAATTGTGTTATCAGTCCTGAACTGCCTTCTCAAAAAACAATGAATTGGGACATATTCTTGGCCGTGGAAATCGCTGATCAATTTGCTTAATGAAGTAGTATATTAAGAATAATATTCAAAGAACTGCATATTCATATGCATCGTAAAAATGGCCATTATCTGTAATTAAAAATAAGTGACTATACGTTTAATGGTTCAAAGTCAATGGTAAATCAAGCTTCATACATGTACAAGCTTCATTATAGGCTGGTAACGTAAAGGTTATCTGATCCGAAACCTTGCCTTTTGCGATGTAAACTGTTTGTTCTATCATCATATCTTCAAAGTTTTGAATATATAATTTATCAAAATGCACACCAGTCTAATTCATTATTTAATAAACTTTAAGTATAAAAAATCATTGTCAGAAGACTTTGATATTGCTCGAAGGAATGATCCTTGTTGGACGGCAATGGTTTTGAAACAGGTTTGTAAATGCCTTCATTTTATTACGTTTTATTTCTGAAAACGAATTCCTGCTAATATTCTTGTATTTTCCTGTTAACAAAGATGTGTATATTTTAATTAAAGCGATTTGTTGTTTTCTTATGATGTCAGAGGTTTGAGATGTGAAGATTTTTGGAACATCATAACTAAGGTGAAGAAAAAATATATATACATTCCGCTAAGTAACAGACCAAATGTTTGACTTTTTAAAGAACAGTAAAAAGACACTTTGCAAATCAAATTGTTGCACGCTTAGTCAATATTAAAAAAAACCCAGCAACTTAAGTTCCGAGAAAAGTCAGAAAAAATTCTTATTGGCACATATGTTTTGTTAAGACAGCAAATAGAAAATATCAAAAATAAACTGCAGTCCTTGAAAATTCTTTGCCAATTTAATAAAATGAAGCAGTTGTGTAAAAAAAAAACTCATTTAAGAAAGTCATTACATTTAATGGAATGCAAAAATTATAGTCTACAAGTATTTTTTATCGGCTACTTACTGGCTGCCCAAATGGATTATTGTTGACATGATTTATTCTAAGATGGACAGAACAATCACATGTAGAAGGACTGAATGCCGTCCCCATTGCACACACCATAGTTAACCAGTAGTTGTTTGAGTTCTGCTCGTAATAGGTAATACCAAGCTTTGAGGGCCGCTTATCACAACCTGAAAAGTACATAGTACGTAGAACCAGGCCACTTATCATAACCTGAAAAGTATTTAGAGCGTAAAACCAAGCTTTGAAGGTCACTTATCACAACCTGAAAAGTACATAGTACATAATACAATGTACCAAGTTTTGAGGGCCGCTTATCACAACCTGGAAAGTACTTAGTACGTAATACCAAGTTTTGAGGGCCGCTTACCACAACCTGAAAAGTACATAGTACGTAATACCAAGCTCTGAGGGCCGTTTATATCCTGAAAAGTACATAGTAGGAAAAAACTAAGCTTTGAGGGCCGCTTATCACATCCTGAAAGGAACATAGTGCGTAAAATCAAGCCATGAGGCCCGCGTCCAATATCCTGAAAAGTATTAAGAAGGTACATATAATTACAAACTTTGAAGACCACTTATAACATCCTGACAAGTACCTGTACATTGTAGGTAATATCGAGCTATGAGGGCCGCTTTTTTGCATCCTTTAAAAATTACATAATAGATCAAGACTAGCTTTCAAGGCAGGTTAACATATTCTATTAAAAACTTTTTCTTAGACCCAGGGAGCTTGATTCGAACAAAAGTCAAATTCCATTTTTTCTACAGAAATCTTTTTTTTCGGTTGAACTTTTTCATTTATTTTTCAAGCTCGATTATTTTTAAAAGATTGATATCTTATATCGCCATAATATTAGGAAAAAAAACCATTATTTATACAAAGTAAAAATTACACTAAATTGGGATCAATAAATACATGTATTGATTTATCTAATTTGGGGTCCTGCTTTTTTGAAAAGATTGTTTTTCAAAATTTCGTTATAAATATTCGTATGTAAATTCTTAGCCCTGCCCAAGGGGCCATCGTAAATCTTGCAAAGACTTCAAACCAATTATCAATATTTCATAATCAGTTTCCATTGAAACATGCTACTCAAATCATTTAAAGACATTTACCTTAACTCGAGAATGCATGTACCAGGATAAGTTGAGAGTTTGCCATTAATAAGACGATCAGGGATCACTTTACCTGGAGGAGGGCCCCAAATACACGAACACTGTTCGTAACTGAAGATTAACCCTTCATCGCACTTCTTCTCCACTGGTTCTCTGTCAGGTTTATACTGAATAAAGCGGTTAGGATCTGGATGTGCAGCTAATGGACACACTGGAGAATATAGAAGAAAAAAACAACATATTACTGGACCTATGATTGAAAAGCAGTTATTTAAAGACGATTATAATAAACCGCTGCTAGGGAATTATATTTCAATTTAATTTTAACTAAGTTCGTTTGAGTTTTACTTATAAGCTCCATATACTGTTAAAAAATTGTCATCACATATAAGGAAAAGAATATTTTTATTTAAATAAAAACTGCAATTATCAATTGAAAAGTTTAAATACAAACAAACAAACAAAATTTAAAAAAAAAACTTTTAGTCTTACGAATGAAAATTAAGCAAATAAGTACACTGTACCTATTGCGGCTTTTGGTTTATATATGTACAAATCCAGTTTAGATATATAAGGACTTCAAGAATAAACATCAAAATAAAAAAAAATTGCTTTAAGAACAGAGAATCTTTCATTGCTACCATTTCCTACCTTCTGTCCAATGGGGAATTCTGATTCCATTTCTGTCATTGGTTTCGGCAATTACTAGCGAGGAATAGCTACAGCACAGCAGTACAACCACAATGTATGAGTTCATGCTGGGGAAAAAAAATGTGCAATGAATCAATGTATTGAACGCGTACAGTGAACAGATAATAAACTATAAAAAGGGAAAGGTTAAGAAATGTGATCTTATGACAAAATGTTGTTTTTAGTGAATATATACATGCTGAAACCACAAGTTTTCGCTTATGGAATGTGAACATTTCTATTGGTCGAAGAAGTGACATATTTGAGAGTTAGTTAAAGAAAGGACATTCATAATATTTTTCTGTGATAAATATGTAATTATTATTATCTTTACTTAACAGTGATAACATTGTTATGTTAATAATTGGCATGGGATAAAGATACATGCCAGGCTATGGCATAACACATTATCCTACACTCTATCGGTTTAAGACCTTTTTAAGGCCCTTATGACAAATGTTTTTGTCTGTATATCATTTTGTAGAAAATAAATAAATGAAATGGAGGAAATATAAATCCAACCATATATTTTATATATATATATATATATATATATATATATATATATATATATATATATATATTCGCAGGATTTATAGGGGCGTCAATCATGTAATTTTGCCTCTGGTCTCTTAATTCCTTTTACGATACATGCATCCCAAACAAGTGCCCTTTTAATAAAAACGTGTTTTTAACCTACAGATAATTGATATCAAATATTGTCCAATTAAAGTTATAAAACTCCTATTGTTTTTTTCTAGCTTATTGGTACTTGAAATAAAAAGAAGATAAAAGTACATTTTTTGATGAAATGACGGTCACAGTGACAACATTAAGAACAAAAACAAGTTAATGTAGTGTATGTATAACTTCTGTGCTTGAAAAATAAAAACAGTAATCTTTTAAAATCTATTCCAACAAATTAAATTTAAATTACATGTAGGTCAAACTCAAATCATAAAATATATTTATAGTGTAATTTTAATTGGATAATTGGATAAAGAAATTGGGTAGGTAGATGGGGGGGGGGGGGGGAGGGGAGATAACATGTAATTCAAAAACACTTGCGAAGATGAAGTTAAGATACAGGTACTTATTAATCGGATGAAAAACTTCGGAATGACTATAAAATAAATAACTGTTTCCTGGAGGATAAGAAAAAGTTTTGAGTAGGGATGCTTTTAGTCAGTCGTTCAGGAGAGGCCAAACAAACATTTTTTTTTAAAGATGGTCTAAGTACCACTTTTTTTCACAAGGAGAATTAGAAGAAATGTTTATATTATATCTATTGTATTCTTTAATGATGCGTCTTTTAAATACGTCTTTTAAATATAAACTAGTTCACAGATTTTTATCTAATAAAAAATTGTTATACAAAATGAAAATTTAAAAGTATACATCTTTTCTATCTCTTTTTTTTTTAAAAAGATGTAAACATAATCACATTTGCTATTGTTTTTGTGCTAAAAATTCCGGGAACAATTTTTAGCATAGTTGAATAGTCTGAATATCCATCTCATAGATAAACTGTCTTGTCAAAGTATTAGGTTTGCACGAGGGTTACTGTGAAAAATTAATTGCTGCAATATGCTTTCCACATACTATAAACATTTATAATAATTTTATTTATTTTTTATGAGACTCATACAGTAGTTTTGTTATTGCATTATTTAACATTTTATGAAGTTGAATGTCAGAATCATTGCGTTAATTTCCTTTCAGAAGAATTGTGTATGAATTTGCATGAAATACAAAGTAATAAAGAATCCATAATCTGCTCGCAGATAGTATTCATGAGATATTTGGTTCTTTTGTAATATATAAATTGATATTTACATAATCAGTATATATAATTTGTTGCACGTTTGTTAAAGCCAATAAAAAGCTTACATCTTCAAAGCGTCTGACGACTCGCAAAATACGTGAAATATCAAAGGTTTAAAAGGTAATTTATATACATATATATCAAAAGTAGGTCGAAGATTAAAGTAGCTCTAAACACTAATGAAAAATGTTGTTTTTTTTAGGGGGGGGGGGGGAGCATATAAAGGTGTACATATTGATTTTAAACAAAGGGTTCCTGCCATATTTCTGCAGGAAAAATGTTCAGAGGCAATAGAATATTAGTGAACAAATCCCTTACTTACTTTTGAAAAATACAAGTCATGCAAAAATGTTTTCAAATATTTGATCTTAGTTTTATGTAATGTTAAGATTATTAAAATATTCTATTTTAAATGTGTTATTTACCATAGATTTCTGTTTCTTCTATTTATAGATTTCTCTAACTGCATAAAACTACCATAGAATTTGAACTCTTCATAGAGCATTGTGTATAATTATGTATCTAGAGCTTCCTTAATTTTTAAGATCATATGGTCGATTATATTTGGTACTTTTCAGAAAGTCCAGTTTCATGCCTTTTTCTTTTTTTTTTACAGATTAGACAAACATGTACATGTATATGTAAAAGCTTATTATTTCAAAGTTTAAAAGTATATTTTAAGATGTCAAGGTCATTTCCAAGGTCGGATAGTCAGCAACCCTGATATTCTTCAGCAAGCATGTTCAGTATGCGATCTGCTGAACTGCATCTCTTAAAGAAAGAACACTGATATCCTACAATCGATGTACATGTCAAAGTTCAAAATGAAAATCACGTGGTCAATGACTCCTTTCATGAAACTGTTTATTAGTCCCCTACCGGTGGAACCGGGGGGACTATAGGTTTCCTCCGAGTCTGTCCGTCCGTCTAGCTGTCTGTCTGTCAGTCGGTCCCACTTGGTTTTCCGCACTTTTTCTCTAAACGCTTGCAGATATTGAGCTAATTTTTGGTATGTGAGTGTGTCTTGATGACTTACAGATCAAGTTTGCATTTCGTTCCGCTTCAATCATTTTTTACGGATTTACTTCATTTTCAATTTTTCAAGGTTTTCCGCAATTTGTTTTCTAAACGCTTGCAGATATTGAGCTGATTTTTGGTATGTGACTCTACCTTGTTGTGCTAAAGATCAAGTTTGCATGTCCATCCACTTCATTGATTTTTGACGGAATTATGGCATTTTCAATTTTTAACGGGAACCAGATTACACTTGCCGGTAGGGGACTAGTATTGCTAATGCAATACTCTCAGAATGCTTGTTGAAAAGCAATTTAGGTTTTAGCTTCGACCTTCACATTTCAAAAGAAACCAGTAGTATGACGTACAACTAATACACTTGACTGTAATTGGTAATTTTCAGAAGGCTTTTCAAGAAGCTGTACAGGTGCTCATATCTTAGATTTACCCTTCAGATTCAACATATATCGATATTATGTATCATTTTTATTTAAAAAAGGGTCAAATGACCAATTCAACACATGTTCAATGTCACGAGGTCAATAATCCTTGTATTTCACCAATCCCTCTCGTAAAATATACAAAAACAACACATCCCTACCTCTTTCATTTCAAAAAATAAAAGTGGGAAACTATAAGTAAGCAGACAGACGCTAAGCAAATAAATCCATATGGTTCAACAAAACAGTCAGTACTTTCCGTCAAAACAATTAATCTGAAGTCAATTATTCTACACACTGTTACCGGGGATGGGAATTTCACTCTTGTTTTTAGCCTAAATAAGTTAATAAATACAATATTGTTGGCGGGTTTGAACACCCTGCAACAAAAGGTGGGGGAGGGAACAGCATGCCTTTGTATGATAACGCATCTACATACTACATTTACTGCAAAATACTGTTCTCAAAAACGGATATTCCCCTTGGTTCTGCTGGTCTGCTTTTTACCTATTATTAATTAAGCAAAATTTATCTCATGGTTCAAAAACCTACCTCTGTGTATAAAAAATGGCTTTAGCGCTAGCAAACCTACATATGTAGCTTTAAGTTCACTGAAATATGGATATAACGAGCAGTTTTAAAGCTCAAAATCCATTAAAACAATACAAATCGGTAGCAGAGCAAACGCAGGCCCATAAAAAGCATATTAGAGGTGGGATCAGGTCCCATGGAAGATTAAGTATCCTCTGGCGACGGGTCACACCCGCCGTGTGCTCACTGTCATGATAACCATTCTACTCTCTTATTTTGCAGTTATGCGCAGTTTCTTGAAAGTTTTGTCTTGTTTTTGAATCCTCTGTACATGTGTGGTCGATTTTAGGGCGTAAATTTTAAACTGAAATAAAAGCAAGTAAAGAAAATGAAAAAAAAAAAAAAAATTAAATTATTCATTATTCGAACTAATTTTTCCTATCTTTTTTATGCTTGCAAACTAGACTTAACTGTGGCTTTTTTGTAGTAATGAGCAAGCCCGTAGGAAAAGCAATTTCACTTTGAGGGGGCACAACCATACATTTTCAGTTGGAGGGGGGCACTATCAACTACCAAAATTCAACTTAATTGGGGGGGGGGACCCCCCCCCCCTGCTTCCCACCCCTCCCCCGGGTTCCTACGGCCATGATGAAGTTTACGGTATTCGAAAAAAAAGGTAGAGAATGACTATATCCCCCCCCCCCCCCCGAAAAAAAAAGATATAACATGTATTGAAATAAACCTGTAAATAAAAAGACAGGAAATGTTTTCAACCCATACAGTAAGCCAGTATATTTTCTTATAGATTTTATAATGACTCTGCAGGAGAAAAAATGAAAGAATAAATCTTAATTTAAGAATGAATAAAAATATTTGCAATGTCATAGTTTAATTAGACTATACCTTACTCGTAGTTAAGCCTTTTTGTAAACACTGTACCGCAACATTTTTAAGATAATTTCGTGCAAATCTTACTCTTTTGTAATGAAGTACTGTACATGTTTATTTCAACCTGAACACACCTGGTGGAATGACCTATATACCATTAAGAATGCATTAACATTCTTTCTCCTGGCAAAATTAATTTAAAAATATTAGAACTTAGCTGTTCTTAATAAGAGGGGGTGAATACTTAGTTCAACTAGTTTTTCTCTCATTATTTCAGAAGATTAATACAGGTAAATAATATATGAATGTTAAGGAGGTTGGATCCTGCCATCAAAAGTAATGAGAATTTTTTATCAAGTATATTTTTAG